ATCTTTTAAGCAAAGTTTACAAAGATAATAGTTATGATCAGTTTTAAAAAGTGTTTCAAGGTATTTAAAAATGGATTAGTAATAAATTTAGTACACTTTGTTGATGAAACATATTCCCTAGTGACTTATTAGCGATGTCGCTCATTGGCCTCAGGTTTTAATTTAAGTTCATTTGAAGTTGTTATTCATCGAAGACTGACATCAGTTGGAGGAACAAAGGAAACCTGGGAGCACTGGATAGCTGTTTCGTCCTAGTATGGGACTCTTCAGCAGTGTGCACCCACGACCCCACGATGAATAACAACTTGAAATATTTCCGAATCTCCACAACCCCCTCAAAAATTTAAGTTCATTTGATTCGATCTAGGCGATAGGATGGATATTTTGATATCGCCCAGATATCTATTATGTTGTGGTGTACATGATTGCTAGTAGTGGAACACAAGAAGTGCGTTTCGTCAGCTGGATGTACCGGCTCCCTACTGAGACTTGAACCCAGCAGCCACCTCTTCGAACTCTGTAGCGGTATCCACTAGACCACTGACACACAAGAGGTAACTTTCGTACAACAGGCGTCAGTTGTTGTTAATTTATATTACAAGTATTATTACAGGCATTGTTACGAGTATGAATTGAAAAAAGACCTGAAAGTCGTTCCCGAAAAGTTGGCTCTGGTGTCCCAGTCACTTAGTCGATAACGCTTTGGTGTTTTGAGCTGTGAGTACTGGTTTTGAGTCACAGTCGTAATGCACTCACAGGTACATCCAGCTGACGAGTCCCAAGTAGGACGGAATGCACATCCTATACTCCATTGTTGTTCACCAAGTACACTAAAAAATTATGCCTATTCTGTTTCCATCTTCTAAACACTGAGCATAAACTATATACATAAAAGTTTCATTATGTTGAGTATATGTTGTGCCAACAACTTATATCGACTATATGAGAGCGTAGCTTTTAATTTCATCGAATGAATACTCTCATAGTCTTTTTAAAGACTTTCCTCTTTTTGTTTAGGAAATAACCAATTATTATAGGTAGCTAATCTCTCTTACTATATTTTGACATCATTATAGAAAACTGTATTTCTTATTATTCTTCTTATTATTATTAGTCCTTTGGGTTCCTAGTGGAACAGAGGGCTTCAGTAACACGTCACCGTTTCACTCTCTTCTCTGCAGTCTTTTCAACCTGCCACCACGAATGCTCAGAAGCTTTCATCTCTTCCTCACACGACCTCCTCCATGTCACCCTCAGACGCCCAAATCGTCGTTTCCCGTTTACCTCGACGACGTGGGCTGGCGCTTGATATCCCCCTCCAAACAGTCTTCTCCATGTATGTCCAATCCAATCCATCTCCACTTTCTTCTGCATATTTATCTTACTCCTGTCTTCAATTCAAAGGCATTATATAGTATCATACAGGATATAGGTTGTGAATGAGGTTGGAAAATGTTTGTGGTGCTGAAAGTGTAGTGTTGAAGCAGTTTGCAAACTACTTCTTGGTCGACGCTATCGAAGGCCTTTTCAAAGTCGATGAAGTGGATGTTAGATAAAGAGTTGACTGCCGTTCTACGCTCTGTTCTATGATGATGCGTAGCGTTGCAATTTGATGCGTACATGATTTGTTTATGCTGAAGCTAGTCAGCCTGTTCCGGTCGTAATTTTGAATCCAGAGCATTTTTAGTCTCTCCAGGATGATGCGACTTCATATTTTGCTTGCTTGGGATGGACAGGAGCATGATTCCACGCTAGTTCTCGCAAAGACTTAGGTCGCCCTTTTTTGCGAGTTTAACAAGGTAGCCCTTCTTCCAATCAGTGGGCAGGTACCTTCCCTTCCTTCCTTCCAAACGTTTTGTAATAGTGGTGTGAGCATGTCCGCTGTTGTCTCTGTGTCTGTTTTCAGTGTTTCTGGGGGAATTCCATCTGGTACTACTACTTCTTCGGATTTCAGCAACTTGATGGCGTTCAGGACTTCGCTCTTGTTTTGTTGGAGGGTTTGTGTTTGCTGATAGTTCTGTATCTGGACTGGGCTGCTGGTGGTATTTCTGGAAGAGTTGCTTGTGGTAGTGGTTGATTCAAGAGTTTTCTGAAGTAGTCAACTCATCGTTTTGTTTGTTTCTCCTCTTTGTTTCTTACTGATGAGTTAAAATCTTGGCTAAATAAATAATGTATACTTTACATGTGAAATATTATCATGTTCGTTTTATTTTTCTGTGAAAAAGTATGATCATAAAAAGATGTTGAGAGAAACTGGGTATAAACTAATAAAAACAAACAATATCATATTTCGAGATTAATGGGGATTTTAAGGTAGTATTCATTACGGTCTATCATCAGTTGGAGTGCTGCTGAAAACTGATGTCAGTCCGTGATGATGAATACTACCTTAAAAACAAAACGAAATTCCCATGAAATTGAGACTACTTTATTGTATAGTCAGCTTTAGTGATAAGCTTCGAGATGAAAATCCTGAAGTTGTGAAGAGAAGCCGTAGGTTCAACCAACCAGAAGTAAAGCGAATGCCGAGTGAAGACCTTTATGGTTACTCGTGGTATATCAGGAATTGACATGAGTAGAAAAGTGTGGACGACTGAACTTCGACCGAGTGAGTAAACGGCTAATAGGTTGTTCGGGAGATCTGAAGATGTTGAATTCGATGTTTGGTGGGAGTCATGAGTGTGTATTGGTGATGATTCTCATACTGGAATGGAATAGGTAGCTGTCCAGTGGTCCTAAGTTTTCAGTGGTTTTGGAAGTGATGTTAGTGTGTGATGAACAGTAGGTTGAAAATGAGATTTTCATAAAGTGTGTTTGACCACTGTTGCCTTTGTAGTATGGGCAGTGTTTCTTGATGTCACGACATGAGTAACGCAGAAGTCAGGCTTAGAGTTTTAGGGAGGAGAGGGAGAGGTAGAGGTAAGACAGTTGATACGGTTGTGAATATTCATCTAGTGAGATGGTTGTGACTTGTGTTATGTATATCTAATCATCGTCTACCTCACCACAGAATGTTGGTCGAAGTAGGTTTCATGTTGAAAAGAGGTGCGAGTTGGACAGACTAAAGCATGATATCAATGTATGAAGTGTTTGAGTGTTGATTTGAGGCATGTGTTGCGATGGAGACTGAATGGTTGAGGTCAGTGGGACCAGAGAAGCCAGTGGTTGGAGATTGTAGGTGGTATGGTTTCCATTTTGTGAGCTATGGAATCGGCAGTTCTTGTACAAGTTTATGAAGACCAAGACTGATGAGGAGTAGGATTTTTATAAATCAATTACACAATTATATGACAAGGATTCTTAGCGAAAATTGTAACGATGCTACTAATACTAATAATTATACAAGTAGTTCTGTAAATATCCCAATGATGAAGTTGTAAATGGGAAATAGGAAATATGACTATTTCATAGACATCCAAACCATAGTTGTTACAAAGGTCGAGGAACTATAAAATGTTATAATACTAGCATGTATCTTCATCATTTTTACTATTTGAGATAGCAGAATTGCAGTATTTATGCTGTATGATGATTGAAGATGAAATGAAGATTTGGACCGCGGTCTGATTCTAACCACCAACTACTAGGTCTCCGGCATAATGCTCTACCAAGTGAGCTGCGAGGTAAAGCATCAGGCTGGAAACCTAGTGGTGGCCGGTTCGAGCCCGGCTGCGGTCCGAATTTTGATTTCACCTTCAATCATCACCCACTATAAATACTGCAAGTCTGCTATCTCAAATAGTAGTAGTTGTTGCAGTATTCTACTAAACAGATCAGAGTGATTCGAGCCGAACTGGCTCATGAGTGATGTAACTGGAAAAATTAAGCTCATAGGGGTGACTTAGTTCAGATCACTTGAATCTTCCAGCTGGTAGTTTTCCAACTACCCACCGAACTGTGGTGTCAGTAGGTTTTCCTTCAGAAACTGTCGGGCCAACATCACAATTTCTGATCTCTGAGTGGTTTCCAATTACTCAAGTTGCTTAGTAATAGTAGACTTCGCTAGTTCATGTCAAAGATCACACATTGTGATCTTGGCCGATTGGTTACCAATGAAGACCCTGTTGATACCACAGCTGACTGCGCAGTTGAAAAACTACTCAACTGCAAGAATTATCAACGTGAACTGTTCAATTCCTAAGTCATTTGCAAATTGACCATCTTCTTTAACGTTCATGCAAGCCAGCTAGCCAGATTCAGGTGATCTGAGCTAATTCCGCTTTATGAACTAAATTTGTCCGGGTACACTACTGATGAGCTGACCCGACTCGAAACGAGTGAAACAGCCATTCAGTATATAGATCACTCTGATGCAGTTGGTGAATTACTTCAAATCAATCTGAGTGGACTCTAACTACTCAAGTTGTTTAGTAGTAGTAGTAGTATCTTAAGAAATGATGCTATTCAAACAGCCTGTTCTAGTCATAATGTAAACAAGGTGACTTCTGTTGTTGGATCCTTAAAAGTTGACCAATAACAAAGGACAATATTTAATAAGAACGATAAAATTGGATTTTGAATATATGAAGTAATCTTGACTCATTTTATTTTTGATTTATCTTTATAGGTAACAATTGGTATATTTAAGAGGCATGGACTTTCTGACAACTTCCTTTTGCCTGTGACGTAGGTAATTAACTAATTTCAGTTATGTCATCTTCACTGTTGAAGTGATAGGAGACTAGATTATACTAGTTAGATAGTTCTAAAATATAGAGATAAAACATCGGTTTGAGACCATTGATATCAATTAGAATAATATCTGGCGTGATGAATTTTCCGGAGTCAGTATAATCAAATTTTATATGCTTTCGCTGTCAGCTGTCAATTGGGTTGATTTTCTGATGATGATGTAAACTGTGGCTAGTTCTTAGTCACATAGATTATACATACGTTCTGTTGATTTCAATTTGAGCATTACTTTCAACGAATAGTCTACAAGCTGTTTAGAAAATAATAATAATTACACCTAGCGCTTATTTTTTCTTATTCCTATATAGGCATTACCGGTATTTATAAAGGTGTAACACCGACAATCTTCAAACAAGGTAGTAATCAAGCCATTCGTTTTTTTGTGATGGAAACACTGAAAGATCGTTATCGAGATTATCGTGGGGATAAGGTTACCGGATTACCTGTACCAAAATTGTTAACTGGATTATTTGGCATTATTGCTGGCGCAGCATCAGTGTATGGAAACACACCTTTAGATGTTATTAAAACACGAATGCAAGTAAGTGACGGATTACTTTTTTTCAGATCAATATCAATTTGTCAGTTATCTGTTAACTTTATAGTTTGATGTTCACCTCTTGTTATTATAAGACCTTTGGGTTCCTAGTGGAACAGAGGGCTTCAGTAACACGTCACCGTTTCACTCTCTTCTCTGCAGTCTTTTCAACCTGCCACCACGAATGCTCAGAAGCTTTCATCTCTTCCTCACACGACCTCCTCCATGTCACCCTCAGACGCCCAAATCGTCGTTTCCCGTTTACCTCGACGACGTGGGCTGGCGCTTGATATCCCCCTTCAAACGGTCTTCTCCATGTATTTCCAATCTAATCCATCTCCACTTTCTTCTGCATATCTGTTGGGCGATAGTTTGTTGGTTGTTTCTTTGCCAGCCAGCCAGCCAGCCAGCCAGCCAGCCAGCCAGCCAGCCAGCCAGCCAGCCAGCCAGCCAGCCAGCCAGCCAGCCAGCCAGCCAGCCAGCCAGCCAGCCAGCCAGCCAGCCAGCCAGCCAGCCAGCCAGCCAGCCAGCCAGCCAGCCAAAGTTCCTTCTTGTTTATTCTTATTATGCTGGCCATCTGTTCTGATCTTGAGTATCGAGTGAGCGAGCGTAGACGGCTGCTGTTGATGATGTGTGTCTGCAGTTTATTGGGAGTGCTTTCTGTAACGCGCCAAGTCTCTCAACCATCACATAAAAGCAGTGACTTGACTGACATTGGTGTTGAAAATCGGGATCTTGTTCACGCTATATGCTGAGTGGAGTGGAGTGGAGTAGATCTCCACACTGATTTAAGATTAATGAAGGAAGGCTTGTGTTGTTGTCTGTTCGAGCCTGGCTTTGACTTCCTCATCTGTGCCTGTGCCGCCTGTAGTTGAAACGATGGTGTCTAGGTAGGTAGGTAGGTGAAAGTGACAACTTGCTTTAGATTTCTCTTGTTGATGGTGATTGGTGCCTCTAATGTTGTTGTTGTTGTTGCAATTGGTTGAGTATCTTCATCACCTCTGTCTGCTGTACAGTCACCTGAAGGAAGTGCGGTCTTCGCTGCCTCTTCTGCCAACTTGTTAGTTTTCGCCTGTAGAACTTCGAGTTTGTGCGACGAGATATTAGACATAAATCATCATCGGGCAAATCTAAATCTGTTAGGATCTTTTCATCGGTCGAACAGTGTATGCCCCTGTTCTCTCTCCTCACAGTTTGTTGCATGATCCAGTCCGTTGTAATCCGGGAGATCACCGATGATAGTAGGCGGTAACTTTGTCTTACTCCTTTCTTCACTTCAAAGGCATTATGTAGTATCATATCGGATATAGGTTGTGAATGAGGTTGGAAAATGTTTGTGGTGTTGAAAGTGTAGTGTTGAAGCAGTTTGCAAATTACTTCATGGTTGACGCTATCGTAGGCCTCATGCTTTATTGAAATACCTCAATATTGAGAACTCGTTCTGTATGGACTTGAGTGTAACTCATCAAAATGATTATGGGAAAAGAAGACAAAACATATGATATGTTGGTGATAAAACTTGATTGGCACACTACTGTACTTGGTTTTGTATAATATCATTGTGTCATCCTGCTATGGGACGATACAAATGTTGACGGTTTATGGTAACCAAGTTGAGCTTATAACGAATTGAACACTATGGAATTTTTTATTTGTTGGATCATCTTAGATAGTCTTTTTTTGACAGTGATGACTCAGTTGATTGTGTTTTGTTTGACACTTTGTAGTAGCACAGGTTATGATCATTTATGACCGACTGAATTTCTTCATTTACTTTTTCTAACCTTGAGTAGTAACTTCACCTTATAGATTGGTGAACTTTGACCTTTATAGCTTCAGGCTTTATTATAGTATTGAGTATCATTAACAAAAGTAAACTCAGTATATGATCCTGTTGATGGGGCACTTTAATTGTGTGTTCACTGAATGTTATAAAATTCTTTTATAAACACAAGTAGTACTGAAATTAGACAAGTCAGCTGGGATATTTCATTCACTCACTGACTTGTGTAAATGGTGGGAAATAATTCTCCACCTCTGTTTTTTACTCATATGATAACCTTACAGTATAAACAGTATAAGATGATAGTGGAAAACAAGGTATTCCCCGAAGAGGACTCTTTTCAACGAATCTATTCTCAAGTTGTACATTGGAATATATATAATATTTACAAACTACAATACATGAGAAAGATTAAACTTTAAAATAATGATGATTATATTGATGATGGATAGTGGCTAGCTATTGAATTCAAGACGCACGTTTCGCCCGATTTCGGGATCATCAGCCGAATACACCTGGCTCCTAATTTAGTGATGTTATTCCCACCAAGACGCGAGCTTGGGTACGATTACTTCAAATACCAGAGTGTTATTCACTAGGTTACTGAGTCACGACAGCAACCGGTATAGTTTATATGATGTTGTTTGTATTCTCCCATCTGCCATTAGTGATGGTCAAAGTTTAAATATTGTTGTTAGTTAATGACGTGAAGGTAGAATGATAACAAGAAAGAGGTTGAAAGTAGGATTTTTACACTGTTCACAGGGTGCACATAGATTAGAAATGGTATAGAAAAGTAATGAAGCTAATCACCAATCAAAGAACTAGGTAATATCAGTGAGACAAGTTAACTGGAATAAAATGAAATTATCTTTTTAAAGGTTGTAATTATTGGGAAGATTAAATGAATTAATACCGAGAACTAGTAAATCTAAGAATAAATCTAACAAAAGGAGAAGTTGAAAAAAGCATAATCGAAACAAAATAAACCAAGACCAAATTTACGTAAAGTCAAGGTAGAGATAATGAGTGTATGTACTTCTCATGCACACAAAGTTCAGGTTTCAGTTCAAGGACAGTCAAAGCTTGTACTATATTTCTACTTGATGACATTTCAAGCATAAATCATTGTTTGTATCGGTTGAATAGCTGGTATTGACTGCCACCTCTGGCTTCGACTAATATACCTTGCTCCATAGGAAAAAGTGAACTGGAGTTGACCTGTTGATGGGTATTATTGTTTGCATGATAGAGGTCAAATAAAGTTTGACTGAGAATAATGTTTTAGCTAACTGATCTCGAAAAACGATTTACCAGGATGTGTGATGATGCAGCATCACCTTCATATTCCAAATCTTATGAACAAACTGAGTTGATAACTGGTTTTGCATTTCTCTCTCTTTCACAAATTTTTATTAACAATATGAATGTACAGTTTGGGAATAAATTCGTTGAAAAGAGTAATTTCCACTAAATATCCTGTTTTTTTGAAATGTCACAATGAGAATTATGAATTTACTGAAAAGAATATAAGTTGATAATGACAGCTAAGTGAAATAAAAATGCAGGAACTAAAATATTCAGACTACGATTTGTGGTCTGCTTGACGTTATTGATAATCTCCAAATTGTCAGCATAACAACAATGTGGCGGCATAAAAGATGGGAAGTGGATAGCTAAGAAAGGAAAACAATGAGAACAGTATGATGAGAAAGGCAGTCCAGTAAGGTACACATCTCAAGACACTGAGTTCCTTGATCTCTCCGACTCTACCCAGAGAATCGTGATGCACTAACAGATGCTAACCAGACACAACTATCCTTCATCCCACGGTAACACATCATACAATGACCATCCCTCCGCTTCCTCCATTCAGCTCCAGGGTTAGCAAACAATAAACGTTATGGAAGCCGTTTGGACGATATACATAACACATGTCCGAGGCAGCGAAACCCGTGTTTCCAGATAACCATTTACTGAATGAAGATGGCTATCATACCCAAGCACACGCTTTCGTACCTCAGAATTACTTACGTGGTGCTGCTACCTGATACGAGCAATGCTATGGAGACAAAGAGGGTCGAACACACGCAGTCATCGCATATCCTCAGCTAGGAGACGTCAGGTTTCACAGGTGTAGAGCAGAACTGCTTTCCCAGATTGACGTATGCCACTCCGGCTTTCGATATGCTGTTAGAAAATTTCTCACTCACACCTTCACCAGCACTTAAATAACTACCCAGATACACGAACTTTTTGGCTACTTCCAACGGCCCATCACTGAGGGTGAGCGCAGGCACAGGCTCCTACGAATCTTGCACAACTACTTTGCGCTTCGGTGGTGCGAAGCACATATCATAATTACGGACATCAATCGCCAACTGATTAAGTGCGACTTGAGTAGCCTGTTTGTTATCACATAGTGTAACTAATCTCATTTTACTGGAACTTTACTTATGAGGAGAAGTTCACACCAATTTATTGCATTCCAGTGGCCCAGTGGTGGACTGGTCATTGTAAAACCGAAACAATATCAACTTTATATTTCAGTTTACTTGGTGGTGGCTAGCAGTAGAATCCAGGATGCTCGTTTCTTCTCGTTCGTAACTCGTCAGCTGGATGTACCTGCACCCCACTGAGACTCGAACCCGGTACCAATCTTTCCAAACACCAAAACGTTATCCACAAAGCGATTAAGGCACTAACTTTAGAAGGTTAGGATAGTGTGCACTTGGTAAAATTTTTGAATTAGAATGTGACAATAACGTCTCAGTAGTTTTTCGGTGATTCTTTCTCCTAGCATCACTTATTCATAACTATTTTAAAACGGTGAAATGTTTGAGAATACGCAGAAATTATTGCATAAAGGTGAACGGTACTAGTTGAACACTCTCCCTTTAATATCTGAAGAAGATGTGGTATCATGAATGTATGGTTAAAAGTCTGCGACCCCAATTTACGAGAAGGATAGACTTGGGTTATTTCGAATAACTTCTAAGCCGATGGTGAATGTATGTTAGTAGTATAATATTTGAAATGCAAATAGTTTTCTCTTGATATTGGTGAAGGTGTTATTAATACTGCATATAATAAGCTAAAAAATCTCCGTACTTCTTTGTGAAGGAATCTCTGATACACCAATGATGATATCTAGTATGATAATGAAATGTTTACCAAGCAAAGCCATAATTACTCACTCTGAAAAAAAACACATCCTAAGCTACAAATTTTCCCCGCAATAGTTATTTTCAAGTTGTTATTCATCGAAGACTGACATCAGTTGGAGGAACAAAGGAAACCTGGGAGCACTGGACAGCTGTTTCGTCCTAGTATGGGACTCCTCAGCAGTGCGCACCCACGACCCCACCAGCAGGGATCGAACCCGCGACCTTCAGGTTCCGCGACCAGCGCGTTACCATTGAGCCACTGGGTCACAATCCAATGCTCCATATTTCCAACTTCTGTTAGCTCACGATATAGCGCAAACCGCCACCAATGTCATCGTTGAGTATTTGTCCTCACGGCCATCAGGCTTTGACTCCACCGGTCACAACTTGTCATTGGAACTTCGGGAATAACAACTTGAAATATTTCCAAATCTCCATAACCCCTCAAAAATAGTTATTTTCGTCAATTTTTAAAAAATCTAATCAGCGGCTATTTTCATTTTTAGGGCTTAGACGCGTATAAATATAAAAATACACTTCATTGTGGTTGGAAAATTTGGACTGAAGAAGGCTTTTTTGCGTAAGTTTATTTATTGCTAACTTTTGACTAATGTTTCAAGTTGTATATTGTCCACTGATACGCTATTTCTCTTAGTTACTTCATTTCGGTTCATATTTATGATTAAAGAGCAACTAACATGATTTATGATTATGAAGCTGGCCTGATAGACTTGTACATTTTGGTCCTACTTAACTGTTTGTTTCCGATCTTTATAGTGTCAAAATGTGGTTAATGACCTTTTTCAGTGTTTCAGTTCTTTTAAGCTTAGAAAACTTACCTATACATCTCCGTAGGGTTCGTTTTTTTTAAAAAAAAACCAGTAACTAAACTTTCTAACATTAAAAATTGTTTCATTCAATACTGGGTGAAGGTGAAATAAAAGTCTGACCTGCTGCTTTATGTGTACCAGCTATGTACAGGTTACTGACCCACTGTTTTAGTAATAACTTGTGCAGTATACTGAATTCTTGTTTTTTTATATATCTACAGGTGATTTCCTTGATTTTGAATTGACTGATTTTTAACGATTCATTTCACTTTGTATACCAATCCTTTTCTGATAGCCTAATGAAATTGATGATTATTATTTTGCCCTTGGGTTCATAGTGGAACATAGGGCTTCAGTAGCACGCCTCCATTCCACTCTCTTCTCTTCAGTCTGTTTAACCTGGCGCCACTACTGCCCATAAGCTTTCATTTCTTCCTCACATGATTTCCTCTATGTCACCCTCAGCTCAGATACCCAACTCGTCGTTTCCCCTTTCGATTCCACTCGAGGGCCTGGTCTGGCGCATGATATCCCTAGTCTATCTTCTCAGTGTATGCCCAATCCATCTCCACTTCCTTCTGCATATTCGTTGGTTGATAGAATCTTGGTTGGTTCGTTGTCAGAGTTCATTGTTTCTTATTCTTATTATTCTGGCCATCTGATCTTCAGTGTCGAGCCAGCATAGGCAGCTGTTGATGAATATCTGTAGTCTGTTGGAAATGCTTTTCGTGACGCATCAAGTTTCTGAACCATATAGCAGCACTGACTTGGCATTGGTGTTGAAAATCCGGATCTTTTTCTTTGTGCTGAGTGCAGTTGACTTCCACACTGATTTCAGATTAATGCAGGCCTGTCTTTCTGTCTTTCCGATCCTGGTTTTCACATTCTCGAGGTTCAAGGTAATGAAACTGAAGTATCTCTTTTTTTATTGAGGTGTTGTGTAGCGCCTTCCTTTGACTGATGGTTCTCACATGAGTCCAGTTCGACTTCTAATTCGATACTTTAATCTTTGGAGTTAACCAAATAAGAGTTTGTAGGTGAATGGATGGATCCCTATCGATGATCACAGTAGGTTCGAATTGACTCTAGTTAGAAAATGGGAACCGTTGGAGGATAGCATACTTGTCTGAGATTCTAAGAGTTCTGGGGTTGCTCTTACTCAAGAGTGTGGAAATGTACTGCTTATGAGTCATCTTCGGATGAAACACTTATCCAATGGTATATAACTCAAAGTAATTGCCTTACTGAAGAAAGACTATTTAAATCCATTTTTCCCATTGGAATATATCATCTGATTTTATAACTGTTAGATTAATCAAAGTTTATCGTATACGGACGAAATGATGATTTATAATGCATACCTTCACTAAGGGCGAGGTAGGAATGTGGATTTTAACACAGTGAATGGCTGTTAGCCTATTCTCTTGTCTACACACATATGAATGCATATGAACAGTCTACACACTCACTGAAACTCAGGAAACTCTTCATTTTCTATTCTGTTGGTTCACAGTAGTAGTAGCTAGCAGGGGGATTCAGAAAGCGTATTTCATCCTATTAAGAGACTCGTCAGCTGGATGCACCTGCCCCTCCCATTCAGTGATATTGTCCCCTCTAAGACTGGAAGCCAGGACCGATTACTTCAAACGCCGAAATGCTGTTCAGTAGGCTACTAAGTTGCGATGACCCATGTTTTTGCTACGGGTATAGTATAGTCTTTGATGTCATAACTTGTGAGCGTCAGGCGTTGATTGGATTGAATTGATCGACCATTATGGGCTTATGGGCTCTCGTGCGGATGCCTCGATGTTGTCGGTATTTTCAATTTTCACCCGGTGGTCGCTGGTTTGAATCCGGCCGCCATCCAGATTTTCATTTCACCTTCAATCAACATCCAGTATAAATACTAGTCTGCCAAACTATGGCTATCTCAGATAGACAAATGATTATTTTGATACTATTGATAGTTCAATCCACGATGGAGTCTTACAAGCTATGCAACCAAAAGTTAACGCTGTTGAATCGTCAATTTTAGCCTAATCGTTACATACGTGCTTAAATTCAATAAACTTGGGGTCTTAGATTATCTAATCTGGTAGATTTAGGGATGAAAACGGGACAGATTGTTTTGTGACTGACCGTTTGTGAGAACAGATCAAATCAAGCTGCTTTTCGTCCGTATGCGGATAAAATAAGTTTTCTCACCAGTTATAATGAGGTGATGATGGTGATGTAATTCCTATGTGTAGTCAGATAAGTAATTATGGTTGAGGGTTGAAATATACAACGCAAGTGACAATCTAATTTGTGTAAGAGCGATTCAATTTTGATTGAGGTACATGCAAGTAGTATCAGAATTCATTGTCCCCTACAATGAGAGGTCTTCTTCTTCTTTGATAACTATTTTAGAATACAGCTTTGAACAGAATGAGTCAATCATCTTTTATTGATTTTGGTGACTAATAGAAGAATACAGGACGTGCATTTTGTTTTATGTGGGACTGGTCAACAGGATGTTCCTGCACCCCAGCGAATGGTATTTTTCCCGCTGAGGCTCGAACCCAGTGCACTTCGCTCCAAACACTAGAGCGTTATCCACTAAGCCATTGGAGCACGATAGCCACCTCTTGTGCAATGGGTATCACTTGTTGTAATGATACTTGTAATTTCCCGTTGCTATCATGACATGACATCCTGAATATCCAGCGTTTCAAGGCATCCGCATACGAGCCTATCTGCTAACAGAGGTCGAACAATCCGATCCAATGAAACAACGGAGAATTACAAGTATATCAATAAAATTATTCTTTCTAAAATACCAAAAAAATGAAAAACCCACAACGTATTTATTTTCAATTTTAGACGTTTGTAGAAATTTGCCGATTACAACTTGATATTCATCATGGACTGATATCAGTTAGAGAAATATTGAAAATCTGGGAGCCCTGAATAGCTGTTTCGTCCTAGTATACGACTTCCTAGAAGTGCGCACCTATGATCCCGTTCTACCAGGGCTCGGACCAAGGACATTCAGGTATCACGGCCAGCATGTTACCATTGAGCCATTGGGTCAGATGGGGGTCGTACTATATCGTAAGGTGACAGATGTGGGAAATGTAGACCATTGAATTCCGACCCAGTGGGTCGATAGCAACGTACTGGCCAAGGAACATGAACGTCCTGGGTTCGATCCCTGGTGGAGCCGGGTCTTGGGTGCACACTGTTGAGGAGTCTTGTACTAGGATGAAATAACTATCAGGTTTTCAATGTTTGGTGTCAGTCTATGGTGAGTACCATTCTGAAATGTATTCAAATATTCTATGAATATGATTTTTTTAAAATTCTCCTTCTTCTTCTTCTCCTGTTCTCAGTTTCTACAAAGGTACAGTACCTCGATTGGGTCGTGTATGTTTGGATGTTTGTATCAGTTTCATGATTTATGATTCATTTATGGAAAGTTTTCACAAAGTATGGGAGGGGAAATCAAAACCAAATCTATGATAATCTACACACAAGACTATGCATATATACTTTAGCATACAATTAACTTATATATTTATTAGAAAAATGCATTGGTTGTGATCAAATTCTTCGCATTACTTTCAAAGCCTAATAATTTATAACCCACTTATTTTATTTTGATAAAGAATATTCGAAGATGGAATTTGTTTAAATCATCAGTTTCCATTTTGCCCTTCATTATTATTATTATTATTATTACTAGCATGTCGTTGATATATACACAGATAGTAAGCATTCCAAAATTTTATCGCTTTAACAAACTAAGGTTGTGCACTATATAGTCACCTTTGGTTGTGCAATAATTATGATGATACCGTTGATACAAGGTTATTATTATTATTATTATTATTTTCAATAAAAGTATATTCAACATATTTCAGAGTCTTATTAACTACTTTTTCGGAATGATTTTCTTGTCTTTGTATTCTACTCTATTTCTTCCCAGACTTCTTCTGTATACCTTCATATCATTCCTATTTACTAGCTACTTGTTTATCAGGATTAAGTAAGAATGTGTTGAGCCAGTTTGCTTCCAGAATGTTTTTTTCATTTTTTCTCGTCAATCTTTTCTTCACCCTAACTGATTTTGGTGAAGGGATTTTTATGGAGTGTTTTCGTATGTTTTATGCTTACCTTGTTCACCTATTTATCTTGCTCTAGTGGAGCAGTGATGTATATATTTATCAATTGTCACACTTATTGTTTGTTTATTTTTTAATACCAACTGTTATGGGTTGGGGGATATAAGTTTATTGGTTGATTATCATTGTTTTTTGAGATTGATATGCATACTCATCGATTTATTCTATGAATTGTATTTATTTACTGCAATATTTATGAATAATCATACTATTCCCGTTAAGACAAATGATTTGTATGTCGGTGTTTACTTGAATACCCTATCAGAAGGTCAATCATGGGGATGCTAGTGCAAATAAACTAGAGGTCAAATGTTTCATTCATCAATTTCTCAATAGTACCCATCTTCTTACGTATTGGTCATGCATATTTGTCGGAAATAATCCGTTGTTAAGCAGAATAATATCTCAGAGGTCGTTGTTTACCAACTCAAACTCTCCGCGGTTACTTGACTCGAGTCTCAGTGAGAACAACATCACCCACTTAGGTGTAGGTGCATCCGGCTGACGAGTCCCAAATGGGACGAAACGTTCGTCCTGGCTTCCTCTGCTAGCCACAACTAAGTAAACTACCAACAAAGTTCATCATGGCGTGCACTACTACCCTGTTACTTATCGGTATGTCTTATTTACATGATGTACCTTGATTATTTATAACTTCGGTCAGCAGTTATTATAAATTTACCTATCAACTGTTTAGTATACACCGATATCTGTTTGTACGTGTTTTCCTTGAAAGTGAATCTTTGTTAACTATTGCCTTAAAATACACTGTCATTACGCTTGACAATTTTAGCAGAAAGCATAACTATATCTCGTGAATAGTTATGCTTAGTCAATCTCGTTATATATTAATAGTCAAATATGAACAAAGAATATTCTTTCCAATAACTTCTCATCAGATTCTACAATTATAAAATAAATTCCTTTAACATATTAATAAACAGAATTTACAGTGAATACATTTAGGAATGGGTGATATGGAATTATAATTTGACTCTTTAAGATTGTGATTGGTAGTGTAATTTATACATGTATATGTCAATTGTGGTGATAAGTTGAGTGTAAACTTTGTCAATTGATTGGTGATCAGATGTATGGGGAAGGTAAGTTATTAGTGAAGTTCAAAGTTGCATATCCTGTTGAGTGAGTGATTAGTAGGTAGAATGAATTCACATGAATTCACCTAATGACAGAGATGGAGTGTATATGTGTCATGATAAGATGGTGAATATATGAAACGTCTAAGATAATGAGAATAGTAATAATGTGAGGAAATAAATGTTAATGGGAATATTAAAGGTGTATAATAATGAGATAGGAGGAAAGTCTGGTTAAAAATAAATGTGAAAGTAATAATTCTCTCCTTGATGTCCTACTGAGATGGAATGAAGACGCTTCCTTGTAACGAAGTATATATCGGAAGACGACCAAAGCACAGTAGACACACACGTCCTTAGTTTTGTACCAATGAAATACACACAAAATGTTATCAGATATTTATTGTCTAGTGCAAGATCGATCTACTCTGAGGAATATGTCGAGAAAAAAGTACAAATCCTTGAGGATATTTTAAGGGAAAATGGATTTCCGAAGTTTATGAAAGCAAACATCTCTCATATTACCCAAAAACATGAATTGATTAGCATGCAGAAAAAAAACTTTCATTTCTGCGTCTACAACAGAATAGAGACACTCAGAGTAAAATTTTATCACAACGTCTATCCGGAGCAATAAATAGAACGCTTTCTCAAGACGTCTACGCCTATCCTTTAAAAACCCAACATTACTCAACCAGAAACCCTAGGACACCCTACCTAAGTTCAACTGTTCCTGTGGAACAAGTTTTGTGTGGCACACTATTAGACACATCCCTATCAGGAAACGAGAACATCTACCAACATGGTTTGCAAAGGGTGAGATTAAATCCATGAAAAGTTCTATACTAGCATATCTGATAGATATAGGACACCGAATAGATGCTAGTGCAGCTTTCATTATGATACACCACGTTCCGAAGACTGTATCATGTGCCATTCGTTTACACATTCTCCACATAGCGGAAGCTATAGCTATAAGATCAACGAAGCCTGAACTTTGTATTCAAAAAGAACACGCCAAGCCCTACTTCTCCCTTGGCCATCCACTGACTCACCAGTATTTCCTCAACCCTCTTGTTTCTTTCCTGACCATTCCTTCCCGTCTCTACTCTCTTCTTCTCTCTCTCTCTTTCTAAAATAAAAACAACATTACTATGATTAATATTAATGCGATTATTTTTAACCAGACTTTCCTCCTATCTCATTATTATACACCTTTAATATTCCCATTAACATTTATTTCCTCACATTATTACTATTCTCATTATCTTAGACGTTTCATATATTCACCATCTTATCATGACACATATACACTCCATCTCTGTCATTAGGTGAATTCATGTGAATTCATTCTACCTACTAATCACTCACTCAACAGGATATGCAACTTTGAACTTCACTAATAACTTACCTTCCCCATACATCTGATCACCAATCAATTGACAAAGTTTACACTCAACTTATCACCACAATTGACATATACATGTATAAATTACACTACCAATCACAATCTTAAAGAGTCAAATTATAATTCCATATCACCCATTCCTAAATGTATTCACTGTAAATTCTGTTTATTAATATGTTAAAGGAATTTATTTTATAATTGTAGAATCTGATGAGAAGTTATTGGAAAGAATATTCTTTATTCATATTTGACTATTAATATATAAAGTAGGAATTTTTAATTTCGTTACAGACTACAAGATGAAAATCTGACCTGATACAAGTGAATGAATTTCATTATGGGTAACATCCTGGTTGCTTATTCACTCACCCGTATTACATCGATCTTTGCTCTATATCACTATGTAAGTGGATGATTGTATAGGTCACCATTTTCTGTACCAAAACATGAATATTAACCTGAAAACGTAATTTCCGATTCAAACTCTTGTAAAGGATCTTCCTAGCAAGATAGAAACGTTGAAGGATAATACAAAATGTCTGTTATTTGTTCTAATATAGTACGCCGGAATTACACAAGTAAAAATACACCTTATACAATAAAACATCCTGGTTAGGTAGAAAAATTCGTTTTTGACGTTTCGCGACCTCTTCACAGGATAAAACCTGTTATCGGATGTTTATATGGTAAATATTTACAATCAGATTATGTTGTTCATACAGGATAATTATACTGGAACGAATGTCATCGTTTTTCGTTATTAGTCTGTGAGGTCAAGGTGAAAATGTGAATGTGTGCACGTATGTGATTAGGTGTGAAGATGTGAGAAAAGTACTATGGTTGGGTGGATGTACTTTAGTGATGATTATTGCATGTGAAGTGTTATTTTTGGATGTACTGTCTAATTCGGTTGGAGAGTTAGACTTTCCTTACGGTTGAGTGTATCAGGATTCAACATAATGTGAAATGCTTTAGCTATTCGTCTTTCTCGTTAGTTTGAAGTTTTCTTCAACAGTTTTCAATATCAATTTTGTGACTGTATTGGATGGATGGCATGAACAAATAATGCCGATCTGATTTGTAAATTATCGATTTCTACAGGTTTACTAGGAGGTCGGCTTGTGTAACTTGCCTGTTCCTCAGTACGAATGAGAATCTGGTGGGATGATTTCCCAATATAATAAGCATCACAATCGACACAGTCTAATCTGCAGACACATTTCTGTGTGGAAGTAAAAGGAATTTTATCCTTCACGTGAATTTAAGCATTCATGAGAGTGTTGGCCTTTTTGTATGAGTCTCTAATTCACTGTCTCCTTAAAATCCTTTGTAGCTCTCCCGTTCCACTTTAGCAGAATAGTAGAACTATTCTAGTAATCCAGTACTCATCACTCACTTTCCCACTTGAATTCATATCCTCATAGGTTTTAATCTTTTGAACACATCATTTATGTTTCTTTCTTCTATTCGTTTGTTGTCTTCTTTGATGAAGAGCTTTATCGCCCTGCCCAATAAGTTTTGAGCAAGTGAATGTTTAGTACTGATTGAATGTGGTGAGTTGAAATCAGTTGTTGAGAAATCAACTTCTGCAGTGATATTTCACTTCAATCCCACTTCAAGTCCTAACCTGTTAACAACAACTTCACATACCAACTGAATAGAATGTAAATCTACGTCTATCATATTACGAGGGTGGTAGAGAGAGATGCGCCTAATTCGTGTATTGTATTTCATTGTGTCGTTTCCTCGACTGTACAGTTTATGGTTAGTCACATTATGTGACAGAGAAGAATAAAATTTGATCAAAATGTTTGATAGATTATGCATGCAATGGTTGATGTGTTTAAGAGTGTTAGGAAGCGAAAATGTATAGGTTTGCACTGATCGACTTCAAAATGCCCACATTATACATCTGTAGTTCACCAATAATGCTAATCTTATGCCACTTTTATGAAAAGCTTTGTAGAAGACTGTATTTGTGCACTCTAAAATCTACTCCTCCTCCTCCTCCTCCTCAGGCATATACAATACATCATGATGAGGATGGACTTATAAAACGGATTGTAGGTATTTTTTAGCGGCATGAAACACAAGCATCACTTTTCTTCACATCATGATCCGCTTTCATGTGGTGGGACAGTCGACTACCAGTTCTCTTGTCTTCCTTCTGTATTCATTGCTCATCTTTCAAAAGGATTGATAGTACTTTTCGACATGAGGTTATCTCATGTGGCTGACTATCTGAAGGACGTAATCAAAGAAATCTGTGCGTATTGTACTCTGCTAGACATATAGACGACATTCAGTAATCAGTTGTGAATGTTGTTTATATTCGACGCGATCACTGTTGGATCAAGTGACTTTTTATAACTTTAACTATTACCATTAGGTCAAAGAAGAATAAAGATTAGAAGGAACAAATTTGTTTTCGGTGATGTCACCCTCTGCAGCTATACACTCGCATTCGATTATATTTAGTGTATATAAAAATGTCTATATTTCTTAATCTCGAACTCACGCAGCAGTGTTTTAAAGTAGGTTGACAACAATTAGTAGTGTCCGACAGGAATGTCCACTATCACCCTTCTTACTCAACTTCGTCATACACCTACTAATGGGCATGACACCGTGTACGTCTTACTTCACAGGGATTGGTGTACTCCCTAGAGGTCATCCAGTTGACTTGGAATGTGCAGAGGATTTTGTCCTGCTTGGTGAA